GAGTCTGCTTCTCCCTCTGACCCTCCTCCCTCTCATGCTCTCTCTCATTCTCTCTGTCTCAAATAAATAAATAAAATCTTTAAAAAAAAAAAAAAATCACTCGGGTTGAATTAAGCTCACGAGTTTACCCAAGTAGCATCTTTTATTGTTCATTGGTAAGAGAATTGTCTTTTATGTACTGTAAAAGCTGTATCTGGAAGTCAGTCCTTGTATCTTCCCATAGAGTATACCAAGATGTCTGATAATTTAGAGAGGTGTTTCCATCGAGCAATGATGAAGCATTTTCCTGGTGAAGATGGAGACACAGATGAAGAATTTTGGATCAGAGAGGATGAAAAGCGAGAGAAGAGACGGAGCCGGGCTGGGCGAAGCAGTGGAAGCCATGTTTGGACCCGCTCCAGGGACTCTGAAGGGCCCAGCAAGAAACAGCAACTGGTGGAGAATGGAGGGAAGTCATTGCCGCCTGCCCGCCGAGCTTCCTCTTCTGGGGATAATCAAAGCAGCAGTTCCACACAACTCCCTCGGGAGGTGGGCACCTCAAATGGCCGAGGCTTTTCTCTTCCCCTACATTATGGTGGGATGCCCAGCCAGGCACCCCTTTTAAACCAGATGGTAAGGAATAGCTCAAAATTCAACAGTAGTTTCTCCTAGTTGGTGAATTCAAAGAGAAGTGAAGCCTGTTTAATTCGCTCCTCTTCCAAAGTAATTTTTCTATATATGGATGATTTCTTCTCCCCTCATCTGTCCTTTCTTTATTCATTCTTCCTCTTATTTTAAATCTTCTTTCTTTTAATCAATCTGATGCACTTTCAATGTGGGCAAAAATTGGGATTTTAAAAACTCTTTTTGTGTACAAATCACAGAAATACACATAGCACATAAAATAGACAGCATATCTGTGGCATTAAAATTTCATGTTGAGGGCGCCTGGGTGGCTCAGTCGTTAAGCGTCTGCCTTCGGCTCAGGTCATGATCCCGGAGTCCTGGGATCGAGTCCCACATCAGGCTCCCTGCTCGGCAGGAAGCCTGCTTCTCCCTCTCCCACTCCCCCTGCTTGTGTTCCTGCTCTCGCTATCTCTCTCTCTGTCAAATAAATAAAATATTTTAAAAAAAAAATTTCATGTTGAAGGGCAGTTGGGGAAAAGTTGTCTTAAAGGGCTCTTGGGGGAGGATGCAGTAGTGAAAAAGAGATTAAGAAACAGCAGTTTTTCTGTCCCGCAGTGAGAGATTGCTTTGGGCCCGAGAACTAGCCCCGATCTGGGTGAGCTCATATGCTAGCCTTCTCCAGGAGCGTCCTTGTTTTCTACCTAATGTCTTCTGTGCTTTCTCTTTTTTTCCCCTCTCCTCTTGCCTTTACTCAACGCCCTCCAGAGGCCAGCAGTACCAGGAACATTTGTCCCTCTTCGAGGATCAGATTCTGCCAATTTATATGTCTCCTCTAGGGTCCCAGAACCACACCCTGGAGAACCTGTACAGCAGCCTCAGCCTTTTGCCATGCAGGTAAGCAGCCTACTCAGGATATGCAAATGCAGAAGGTTCCACAGATAAACGTCAGAAATAGTCTCTTACCAGGTTCGATTCAATTCAGAATCTTCCATTCTGTGGAGTCTCTTACTATAGATTAAGCCCTTTACACGTTGTGCCGTATTCTGTGGGTCTACTGAACTCTGCTTTCTCCTGTTTTCTTGTTGCCAGCCTCCAGTTGGAATTAACAACCACCGAGGACCCAGGCTAGGCACTCCAGAAGAGAAGCAAGTGTGTGGGGGGCTGACACACCTTAGTAACATGGGATCACATCCTGGATCCTTGCAGCTTAGGCATATGGGTGGCCCTAGTCAGGATGGAAATATTTATCCCCCAACTCAATTCCAGTCAGGATTTATTCCTCCCAGGCATGGTGGGGCTCCAGCCCGACCCCCAGACTTTCCTGAAAGCTCAGAAATTCCTCCCAGCCACATGTACCGATCATACAAGTACATGAATCGAGTACACACTGCTGTCTGGAATGGGAACCATGGTGCTACAAACCCAGGACCCTTGGGCACAGATGAGAAGCCCCCCATGGGGCCAGGACCCTCTCACCAGCCTCGCACTCTTGGTCATATGATGGATTCCCGAGTGATGAGACCTCCTCTTCCCCCAAACCAGTGGACTGAACAATCAAGCTTTCTACCTCATGGAGTTGCTTCTTCAGGGTATATGCGAGCACCCTGTAAATCTGGTGGACATCGGTTACAGCCACCTCCAGCCCCAACGCCAAGTTCTCTTTTTGGAGCACCCTCCCACGCTCTGCGGGGGGTGCAAGGAGGGGACTCCATGATGGACAGCCCAGAGATGATTGCCATGCAGCAGCTTTCTTCCCGAGTTTGCCCACCAGGTGTGCCTTACCACCCCCGACAGCCTACACCCCACCATTTACCTGGCCCTTTTCCACAGGTAGCTCACTCGGCATCAGTAAGTGTGTCAGCCCCCAAGCCTACCTTGGGGAACCCTGGGAGGACACAGGATAACAGTGAAACACAAGAGCCTGAGAACGACCGAGGTAATTGACACCATCATTTTTGTCTGACGTCTGACATTTAAACCATTAATTCATAAGGAATCTTTTTTACAAATATTGTCAGACTTCTTTCCAGCTTCTTGAAACTACTCAGGGTTGGGCCAGTCATAGTATTAGTCCAAAGATCCGAAAGGATTCCTGGTAGTAATTATCCTTACACAGATGTAGTCCTTACTGTTCCATGCAGTCTTTTTGAGACTTGTAGGTACAGTAAATCAGTTCTCAGAATAAGCTTTGAGATAGCTACTCTTTTATTATACTTGTTTGTACAGATGGAAAATCCGAGGCACAAAGCTATTGGTTGCCTTCGTCTTGCAAATAAGTGGTGGAGCTGAGATTTGTACCCAGACCCACTCAATCCAGCATCCGTGCTCTCAACCACTACATCATCAAGCTGCCTTTTAAAATGACTATCTTAAACATTATCATTATGGAATAAATTTTCAGTACTTTAAATTCTAATTATTTCCATCCTTCTAGTCCTGGGACACATTTATAGCCACTAAGAAGCAAACATTGAAGGGATTTCTTAGAAATATCATTTAAGAGATTAACCTGAGGGCACCTGGGTGGCGCGGTTAAGTGTCTGCCTTTGGCTTAGGTCACAATCCCAGGGATTGAGCCCCATGTCGGGCTCCCTGCTCATCGGGGAGTCTGCTTCTCCCTCTACCCCTCCCCCCAGCTCGTGCTCTCTCTTTCACTCTCTCACTTGCTCTCAAATAAGTAAATAAAATCTTTAAAAAGAGAGAGATTAACCTGAAAATTGAGAAGATGAAAAGTGTAATTAATGCTTATTTCTAGGATAGATATCCACCATGTATTGTGTTATTTTCTTCAATACATGACTGGAGAGAGGCACGTGGGTGGCTCAGTCAGTTAAGCATCTGACTCTTGATTTAGGGTCAGGTCATGATCTCAGGGTTATGGGATCAAGCCTTATGTTAGGCTCTGCGCTCAGCGTGAACACTGCTTTAGAATCTCTCTCTCGGGCGCCTGGGTGGCTCAGTCGGTTAAGCGGCTGCCTTCGGCTCAGGTCATGATCCTGGAGTCCCAGGATCGAGTCCCGCATCGGGCTCCCTGCTTGGCAGGGAGTCTGCTTCTCCCTCTGACTCTCCCCCCTCTCATGTGCTCTCTCTCTCTCTCTCTCAAATAAATAAAATAAAAAATCTTAAAAAAGAAAGAAAATGTAATTTCCTCTTGAAAAAAAAAAAAAAAGAATCTCTCTCTCCCTCTGCCCCTCCCCCATTTGCACTCATACTCTCTCAATAAATAAAATATTAAAAAAAATAGATGACTGAAGAATAGAAACCTGCTCTTTTATCAAATATGAATATTCCATATAAAATTGATGATAGGCCTAGAACTCAGAATTACCTTCTGTTTTTATGTATTTATTTATTTAGATATCTACTGACACTTTTTTTTTTTAACTATAATTCCACTATAGTTAACATACAGTGTTACTGTGATTCAACACTTCAATACATTACTTAGTGCTCTTCATGATAAGTGTGCTCTTAATCCCCATCACCTGTGTCACCCATCTCCCCACCACCTCTCCTCTGGTAACCCATCAGTTTGTTCTCTGAAGCTAACAGTTTGTTTTTTTGGTTTGTCTCTCTTTTTCTTTGTTCATTTGTTTTGTTTTTTAAATTTCTCATATGAGTGAAATCATATGGTATTTGTCTTTCTCTGGCTGATATATTTCAATTAGCACTATATCCTCCATCCATGTTGATGCAAATAGCAGTATTTCATTATTTTTTATGGCTGAGTAATATTACATATATTACATATGTGTTGTGTATACACATATGTGTATACATATATACATACATATATTACATACACATATATATACATACCACCTCTTCATTCATCTTTCAGTAGACACATGCTTCCATATCTTGACTATTGTAGGTGGTGCTAAACATATGGGTGCATATATACCTTTTCAAATTAGTGTTTCGTATTCTTTGGATAAATACCCAGTAGTGGAATTAATGCCTGATATGGTAATTCTATTTTTATTTTTTTTAGTTCTCTCCATAATGTTTTCTAGAGTGGCTGTACCAGTTTGCATTCCCACCAGCAGTGTCCGAGGGTTCATTTTTCTCTACATCCTCACCAACATTTGTTGTTTCTTGTGTTTTTTTATTTTAGCCATTCTGATGGGTGTGAAGTGACACTGTCATTTGCATTTCCTTGATGATAAGTGATGTTGAGCATCATTTCATGTTGGCTATCTGAATGTCTTGTTTGAAGAAATAGATGTTGAGGTCTTCCGTCCATTTTTAATTGAATTATTTGGTTTTTGGGTGTTGAGTTCTACCAGTTCTTTTTTTTTTTTTTTTAAGATTTTATTTATTTGACAGAGGGACACACAGTGAGAGAGGAAACACAAGCAGGAGGAGTGGGAGAGGGAGAAGCAGGCTTCCCACTGAGCAGGGAACCCAAAGCTGGGGCTCGATCCCAGGAGTCTGGGATCATGACCTGAGCCACCCAGGCACCCAATCAGTTCTTTATATATTTTGGATACTAACCCTTTATCAGATATGTCATTTGCAAATGTCTTCCCCCATTGTCTTTTAGTTTTATTGATTGTTTCCTTTGCTCTGCATAATCTTTTTATTTTCATGTAGTCCCAATATTTAATTTTTGCTTTTGTTTCCATTGCCTCCAGAGACCTATCTATCCTCTTTTGCAAGTGGTTGTTCAATTTTCTGAGCACCATTTTTTGAAGAGACTGTCTTTTTCACATTGCATATTCTTGCCTCCTTTGTCAAGGATTAATTGACCATATAATTGTGGGTTCATTTATGGGCTGTTTCGTTCACTTAATCTATGTGTCTTTTTTTGCGCTAGTATGAGTCTCTTTTGATTACGACAACTTTGTAGTATAGCTTGATATCTGGGATTGGGACACCTCCACCTATGTTTTTCTTCTTCAAGACTGCTCTGCCTACTTGGGATCTCTTGTGGTTCCATACAAATTTTAGGATTATTTGTTCTAGTTCTGTGAAAAATGCTGTTGGTATTATGATAGGGATTGCGTTAAATTTATAGATTACTGTAGGTGGCATGGATATTTTAACAGTATCTGTTTTTTTGTTTTTTTGTTTTTAAGATTTTATTTATTTGAGAGAGAGAGCATGAGCAGGGGGAGGGACAGAGGGAGAAGCAGACTCCCCATTGAGCAGGGAACCAGATGCAGGGTTCAGTCCCAGAACTCTGGGATCAGGACCTGAGCGAAAGGCAGAGGCTTAACCGACTGAGCCACCCAGGTGCCTCAATTATCTGTTCTTCTAATCCATGAACATGGAATATCTTTCCTTTGTCTTGTCTTTAATTTCTTTCATCAGTGTTTCAGAGTATAGGCCTCTCACCTCTTTGGTTAAGTTTATTCTTAGGTATTTTATTGTTTTTGGTGAAATTGTAAATGAGTCTCTGGCTGGCTCAGTCAGTGAGCATGCAACTCTTGATCTCGGGGTTGTGAGTTTCAAGCCCCACCTTGGGTGTGGAGATTACTTAAAAGTAAAATCTTTAAAAAAAAAAAAAAAAATTGTAGGGGGTCCTGGGTGTCTCAGTCGGTTAAGCGTCTGTGTTCAGCTCAGGTCATGATACCAGGATCCTGGGATCGAGCCCCCCATCTGGCTCCCTGCTCTGCAGGGGGCCTGCTTCTCCCTCTCCCTGCCATTCCTCCTGCTTTGCGCTCTCTCTCTCTGTCAAATAAATAAAATATTTAAAAATAAATAAATAATAAAGATAAAAAATGAAATTGTAAATGGGATTGTTTTATTTCTTTTTCTGCTATTATTAGTATATAGAAATTCAGCAGATTTCTGTATATTGACTTTTATACTCTGTGACCCTACTGAAGTCATTTATAGTACTAGTAGTTTTTTCGTGGTCTTTAGGGTTTTCTATATGTAGTATCGTGTCATCTGCAAGTAGTGAAAGTTTTACTTTTTCCATACCAATTGTGTTGCCTTTTATTTCTTTTAGTTGTCTGATTGCTGTGGTGAGGACTTCCAGTACTATGTTGAATAAAGGTGTTGAGAGTGAACATTCTTGTTTCATTCCTGATCTTAGGAGAAATCTCTCAATTTTTCATCATTGAGTATGATGTTAGCTGTGGGTTTTTAATATATGGCCTTTATTATATAGAGGTATGTTCCCTCTGAACCTACTTTGTTGAAGGTTTTTGTCATGAATGCATATTGTACTTTGTCAGATGTTTTTTCTACATCTATTGAAATGATCATAATAGTTTTTAATCCTTTGTCTTCTTGTTGCATCATGTTGATTTATTTGCCCTTGCATCCTAGGAGTAAATCCCACTTGATTGTGTTGAATTATTTTTTTAATGTATTGTTGTACTTGGTTTGCTAGTATTTTGTTGAGCATTTTCGTGTCTGTATTCATCAGAGATAGTGACCTGTAACTCTCTTTTTTGTAGTGTCTTTGTCTGGTTTTGTATCAGGGTAATTCTGGTCTTACAGAATGAATTTGGAAGTTTTCCTTCCTCTCCTATCTTTTGGAATAGTTTGAGAAGAATAAATATTAACTCTAATTTGAATGTTTGGTAGAATTACTTGTGAAGCTTTCTGGTCCTGGACTTTTGTTTGATGGAAGTTTTTTCCCAGAATTTCATTGCTGGGAAATGGTCTGTTCTAAGTTTCCATTTCTTCCTGTTTTAGTTTTGGTAAGTTATATGTTGCTAGTAATTTATCCATTTCTTCTAGTTTGTCCAATTTGTTGGCATATAGTTTTTCATAATATTCTCTTACAATCCTTTGTATTTCTCTGTCGTTGGTTGTTATTTCTCTTTCATTTATGATATTGTTTGAGTGCTTTTTTTTTTTGAGTCTGGCTAAAGGTTTGTCGATTTTACTGATCTTTTCAAAGAACCAGCTCCTAGTTTCATTGGTCTGTTGTATTTACATTTTTTTAGTTTCTGTTTTGTTTATTACTGCTCTAGT